ATAATTAATCTATAAAATCAATGAATTATTTTAAAATCATGTCATTCCATATTGTATTCACATTAAAATTTTGTTCTTTATTATAATTGTTAAATCATAGTAATTGAAATTTCCAATTGGTTGGAATGATTTTTGATTACTTGAATTTGACTTGAATTTGTTTTGTTTAGAACCAAAATAGAAACTAAAATGGAATTTTCATTTTGAGCTCTATCTCAAACTTAACCAAATTGATTTTGAATGGAACGATTTGACAATTATGAAATGAATTATTTTAATTTGATTGTTAATTTAATTAAATTTGAGATTATTAAAATTTTTTATGTAAAAAATTAATATTTATTTAATTTGTAAATACACCAAGTTTTGAATGTCATATAAATAATTAGTTATTATGAATATTACATCTAAAGCCTAATTTGTTTACAAATTAAATCCATGTTAACTTTTAATATTTAAAATTTTACTAAAACTAATAATAATTCATGATTTTAATAAGACAAAATTTAATATGAATATAATATGGAATGACATGATTTTAAAATAATTCATTGATTTTATAAATTAATTATTATAATTTTAATAAAATTTTAAATATTTTAACTTAGTTAAAATATAATCAATATAATAATAAATACTAATACTCACTCTAATTATGTTTTTAGACAAATTAATTTGTAATTAAAAGGAATAGAATTAAAAAAAAAACTCATTAATGCTTGGTTGAGAGAAATAAAAAAAATGTGGTGGCATTTTTTATTTTATTTAATTATTGTATGTTTAATGACTAAAATGCCCTTCTATTATTCAAAATATATTACTAAAATTTGTTGAAAGGATGAAATTGCTAAAATTTAAAACTACAAGAATGATTTTGCAATTGGAATAAAACTTGGAGGATGAAAATAAATTTTTCCCTAATTTGAGATGAAGTTTGGAACCCTCCATCAAAATTTAGTATCCCAAAAGAATGGATTCAACATTATAGAAATATTCTAGGACAATTCAAGGAAATATACTACTTTGAATGTTACATAATCTGCTCACTGTTATAGAATGTTCAACGTGGCCTCCACCGCGAACCATCCACCAAGTTCCATTTGAAGTCACCCCCTTCTCCCCAGCCAAAAAGAAGAAAAAAAATAAAAAAGACATGGACGCACTCATTTACACACAGTCAATTAAGCACCTGTGCAACTTCAACTCCTGCTGTTTTCTAGTTTGGGGCCGCTTTGCCATATTCTTTCCTTGTAATCATAAGGAATGTCTGAAGGATATTAATATTCTTCTTCTTCAACAGATGCACACAAGGAAAAAACAAATCTTCTTTCCACATGTCAGACCAAGCTGCATGTGTGCATTATCAAAGATTCCATTTATAGAGGTTTAAAAATGGCTTCCTTAATCTGCATATTTTTGCATTAGTATCACAAAAAAACCAATCTTGTCAAATCTTATCCCATTTGGAAACTAACAAAACACAGCAAACCTATTAACCTGCTAAAAAGTCAAACCTTCCAATGTGTGATATGTCCAAGGGTGACAGCCCCTCTTACCTCCTATTCTAACCAGCCCACTGTACGCAACAGCTGAAAACAAATTTAGCCTTATCTGGACAGAAAACCATTTCGATCCTGCCATGTTTATGTAATTTTTTTTTCTTTTTCTTTTTCTCTTTTAACGGAAACCCATTTCTGAATCTTCTAACAGATTATTCGAATTTTTAAACCAGATTTGAAAACTCAATACTGGGGCTTAAAAACGAAAAAGGAAAACTAGCAGAAGAGCCAGTTTGCTGTTGAGATTTAGCGGCAATGCATTATGTGCGTTGGTGGAAAGGAAAAACAGTACCAGAGCATGAGGGGAGAGAGCCAAAAACAAAATTAATCCAAAATAAAATAATTTAAAGAAAAAGAACAGCTAAAAGAGTTTGTCCACAGAAAACAGAGCAACACCTAATCTGTTTAAACAGAGAGGGTGGTTAATTACCCTTTTTTTTTCAGAGGGATGAGGGGAAAACAAAAACCGGAGAGAGAGAGAGAGAGAGAGAGAGAGAGAGAGAGAGAGAGAGAGAGAGAGAGAGAGAGAGAGAAGAGATGGAATTTTGGGGAAAAAAAAAGATTCCAATTTTAATAGAGCCAAGCAAGGAGGAGGGAAAACTAAAAATAGGGAGAGAGAAAAGCAAGTTTCATTTTAGGAGTGTTCAACGAACCGAACCAAACCGATTAGGCCGTATAAATCGAACCAAATCATATAGTGTGGTTTGGTTTGAATTTGATATTTAGACAAACTGTATAAAACAAATCAAATTGTATAGTTTATATATGTACAAAATTAAAAATCTTATCCTTATATATATAGTATATTTTTATTGTTTGACTGTATATTTCTTTTTTTTGTTATCTTTTATATTTATATTCATTCTAATAATTGATTTTTTTTTTTAGAGTGTAATTTCTATTAGTAATAGTGAAATTCTGTAAAACAGTATAAATATATTTATTATAAAATGTATAACTATTATAATTAATTAATAAATATTGAATTTATTAAATTAAACATGTTGGGAAAAAATGGATGACCAATTTTTTAGAAAACTCTGTTAAAGTTTTTATAAAAATAGCAAATTTAATTCATTTTATTTTGTAAATCATAAACCGTAGTTTGAAACCGAACCAAACCCTAAACCGTGGTTTGGTTTGGTTTATAAAAATTAAAAACTGTAAAGTATGGTTTAATTTAAATTTGAGCATTAAACCGAGCCAAACTGAACACCCCTATCCAATTTCAATTCATATAAAATGCTTCATAATCACACTCTATGATTTGAGTTGTCTCTTTTCAATAATTTTATTGATTTTTCTGTTTTTAAATAATATGTAGTGTATTTTAATTTAAAATACCCACAAAATCAAAGAAAAATATAGAAACTTAAAACAAAATATAAATTTTTTAGCCAAAAACTTAAAAATTTATTTTGATTATTTCCTTGTCCTGTTAAGAAGCTGGGTGGTAATAGTCTCTCATCAAGAAATTCAATAATTGATTTATCACATTTGATTTATAAAAAGTTTTAAAAGTTAGATTTTTATAAATTAAACCTCATAGAATTAGTTTTATTAATATTATTAAAAAAATATATTAAAACTTGGGAAGATTGTGAAATGATAAAAATCATATATATTTTTTATTATATTTAATTTTAAAATTTAGTATTTAAGTATATACGAAGTAAAATGGAAATAGATTTTGATAATTAAGTTTTAATTGTATTAATTTTTAATTTGTATCAATTTAATTTTAAAAAATTGATTCAATATATATATTTAGACATATATATTATTTAAAATAGATTAAAATAGGTATACTAAATAATCTAATACTTGGTTCAAATGTTACACTGACACTGCTATATTTACACATTATTCGATTAAATATTTTTTGTTAAAATTTCCTATTCCTTAAATTTTATTATGACATATATCCTAAAAATAACTTAAAAATTGTTAACTTTAATTCATAAGAGGGAGTTTAACATATTAATATTTGTAGAAAGGAGTTCAATATCCATCTTAATAATACAAATTAATATGACAATATTACCTCGTAATCTAGTTTAGCTTTCTTTATCATTTCTATTATTCTATTTTGCTTCCATGTGCTAATGGCCGAGCTTTGGCTTCCATTGAAAGAGGGTGTGGCTACTGGTTGGATCGATGGTGAGAGTTCGTGCAATGATCTTGGATTTCTTATAAAATCTTATCATAACTTTCATACGATTGGAAATTCACTTTTACGGGATATTTAGTTTAATTCAAAAATTTAATTTTCATCCACAAAGTGTGTAATTACAAAAGTTAAAATTAATAAATTATTTATCTCTTCAAAAAAATGATGATGGGTTGAATCTTATAACTCATTTTATATAATTTTCATCCATATTGTGTCAAAATATTTAGTTTCAAGAAAATAAAAAAAGGATCACTAGTAACCCCAATTGTAATCACACAAAACATGTCACTAAATAGTAACCCTTTTGAGGCCACTAATTAGTGATTACATCATTAACTAAATTAGTAATCTTTCACTAATCGTGACCAAAATTAAAGTGCAATGGCTAAATGAGTGTCCCTTTTGTAATCGCACAAAATGGGATTGCTATTTAGTGACTCCTTAGTAATTAAACTACAAGCAATTTTGTAACCGTTTTGTAAACAACATAGTAAGGGTCACAAAATTAGTTACAAAAAGAGTCATAGCTCTTATTATTTTTTTCCCAAAAAAAAGAGAAATTTGGTCACTAATTGTTCATTAAACAGTCACTAAGTAGTGACCATTTGTAGGAATCACTGATGAGCGATTGCTAATAGCCCCATTTTTGTAATGAAAGCAAATAGGGTGCAACCAGACCCACAAATTACAAAGATATGGAGGCGGTGCTTTATCGTATCTTCATTTAGAGCGGCTAGTTTAGCCATAATGGCTACTAGCTCATCTGCAGCATTGACAGTGGTGGTATGGTGGCCAACCAACAAAGATTGTTGGCTGGTGGTACTGCTAGTTATGGGTAAACAAATATAGAGGGAGAGAGAAGCATATTGAAAAGTAAGAGTAGTTTAAAAATTAACAAAAATGTTTGAGGATAAAAATATCCAAAACTATTTGGTAACAGCTTCTTTTTAGTTACTAAAATGGCATTAAAATTGAAAGTATACCCTTCTCCAATTCTAAAACTTCTTTTGTTTACTTAAATTTTGAGAAAGAAAAATTATAAATAACAATCAAAATCAATTTTCTATTATTGAATAACTCGGAGTACTTCATAGAAACATATGCAAACATCCCCTAGAAAGAGTTTAAAATAACTTCCCAATAATCGTACCAACATTAGCTATCTATACCTAATAGGAGACGTAAATCAACCACAAATTTTATATTTTGTTAACAACTGATGACATATTTAGGTAAATTTGCAAAGGGAACAATGATAACTAATGACATCAGGCAAGTATTACAAGCAAGGATCTTATAGGAGAAGATGCTTGGAGAAACCAAATTCTTAGAACTAAGCACAATTTGCAGAGGCAAAAGAGACCTGCTTGTTGGCAAGATCATACTCCACCTGAAAGTTTATTTGAGCCCAATTGCCTTATATACTTGTACCTTTTGTGGGTAACATTGCTAGACAAGTCAAATCTGTGGATATGGGTCTGAACACGTTCAATTTCTTGAGTGGAACATCTGCTCCGTTAAAATGAAACACCACTGTCATCTCTGGGATATTGCTAAATGAACGTTGATCATAACACAAGTGGTAATTTCCGTCTGGGTCTCGGATTGTCTCCAAACTAATTGTTTCCCTCAACACAGCTTCCAGATCATTATAAAAGCTTGATTCCAGCATAGTTAGGGTTGTCCCGGAGTCGATTATAATATTTCCTTCATTGGAGGCCGTCTGACTATTTACTATCTTCTTGTTCCCTACGCTTGCACCTTCGAGAGTGAGATAGTAATGGTACAGAGTGTCTGAGCTATAAATTGTTAAGGGGGTTGAAACGACTCCAGGCCCTGACAAAATTGCATCTCCTCCAAACTTGAGTTTACTGGCGGAGTTCGTTACGGGTAAGCAGTATGAGAATCTATAATCAATGTTACGACCCAGTTGAGAAATCAAGGATAGTGGTCCCGCCCCGAGGCCTACGAGTCCAGAGCCAAGGTTGCCACCATTGTTGTGCCCACAGCCAAACATCGCGTTGGTCAAAGCAACACGTTGGCCATCGGTGGAATCGAAGATGAAGATGTCAACAGCCAAGACTCCATTGGTATATGACCCATCTGCATAAGTATAATGGTATATGCACTCGTTTGATGCACTACATTGACTTTCTGGTAAACTTTGACAAGGTTGAGAATTGCAGGGAATCTCAGCATAGGCAGAAGATGCCATGGGATTGAAGAAAGGAGAATTCTGGGCGTTGCATTGTTGACAAGGGGCACATTGAACCCAAACAAGATCACTTCCTGTATCGACAACTACCGGAACTTGAACTGGAGGATTCCCAACTGAGAGCCGCATGAGATATTCTCCCTCACCTGGAAATATGGTAGATTCAATGTATTTAGTGTCTAAGGAAGATGAATGGAAGCGTTTTGCCCGTGCAATGGATCGAAAGGCATCACTCCTTGATCGATCTCTAAGTGTAACAGAATGATTATAGAATGGAGAGAGCTTTGAGTGACGAGGAATAATCTCAATGGTGAATCCTCCAATCCTAGCTTCTGTGGGGGATTGGAAGGGTAAGGAGCAAAAGATGATCAAGACAAGACATGAAATTCTGACAACATGACCCATGGCAAGGGGAATTTCTACCTTTCTGGTTGAGAAAGATACTGAGAGGTAGATGAGTGCCAAGAGTTTATTTCGATTAGTTATTTATAGAGAAGAGCTTCAGAAGAGCGAGTGGTAATGGTAATTAACCATCTTAATGGAAAGCTAATTCAGGTCCTTTTTGTATCAGAATATCATTTAAAATAACAGAAGAAAGAAAAAATGCCACAAAATATACATGGGGAGAGGGAAAGAGGGAGGAAAGGATAGAGATTGTTCTTTCCTTGGTGGAGAAGGCATGCGGGTGGTCGGTCAAACGTGCCCACGACTGCACTTGACCTTCTAGAAAAAATAGTTTTATTGAAAAAGTAAATGAAAATAAGCCAATTGTTTTAAACAATAAATAAGCGCAAAGAAAGAAAAGAAAAAACTGACCTTTCTTAACTCTTTTTTAACTGATCATTATCACTTCATATATAATTACCTTTAGCCTTAAATTTTCTTTTTAATATCCGCAGAAACTAATTAACTATTTAATTGAATAAGTGAATAAGGTAAATAAATGAATGAGGTAAGTTGCACATGTAAAGACATGGGTAGGGATAATACATCCACACAACTTTATTGACTTCTGTTTTCATCCGGAAAATGAAAACCCCAAAGGAGGGGCAGGATAGTACATCCACATCCAGACAACTTCATTGACCTCATCCGCAGGATCATGCCATTCATTTCAAACACCAATGGAAATGTCAATTATATAAAAAGAACGGGAGCGGAGGCAAGTCTTTATTTATAATATTTAAACAATCCTGCTGAAAATTTTATAAAATATAATAAGCAATCCTAGTCCAGATTTCTAATCCTAATAGGCTTGAATTATTTGATATATACATGACTCCAACCCCTTGAATCAGTCGCCCGTGATGCACGCTGCAGTTGGCCTTCAATTACATGAACCATTAATGAGCTCATCTAATAAAATAAATACAAATATTCACTAATTGACTAAGCCCGACTAATGAACAATTCATATTCTAAGGAAATAATAGAAATTATCAAATTTGAGTTTGGAAAAGTGACAAACAACGTCGACCTAAGTTGAGATTTCCATAGAACCTGGTCAACCCACTTTGCTTATCAGACAATTACATGCAAGGTGACGATTTCTTCAACAAAGTTCCTCTTCTTCAAGTCAAGTCGCTCCAATATATTCATTTCTTAATTTCTTTTTGATATTAAGAACTAGAGAGCAACAAGGTCACCGAGCATTGAAGTTGCTCGCTAATCCCTAGAAGCACTTATCCATGGATTAGCAACAAAAAATTCTTCTGTCGGTAAATTTAATTCCATTTACTGAGGAGTTAGTGACCAATAATTTCCCTCCCTAAGCTTTAGTGGGAAATTAATAATAAATTAGCGGCCAAACATTTTCTAAGCTAATTTTTCTTCGAATTAATGACGGAATACTAACAGAAAATATTCCTCGCTGCTGTTCAGTGACAGATCCACAACGAAATAACTAAGAAATAGCGATGAAAATATAGAATATGTTAAATTTTAACACCAAAGTCTTGCATTACGTTTCTAGAGACCAGCTATTGCCTTTACCACACACCAAAGGCTATTTGTTCTTGATCAGTGCAGTGCATGAATGACTTGAATTTATTTCAAAATTTAAAGATAACTTTGTGGACTTTGCCTTCTTTTGACAATATGTTCCAATTTTTCAAGTCATACCTACTTTAGAAAACGAGAAAATGGTTCCACTTGCTGCCACAGAGAAACTAGTTTCTGTTTGGACTCTGTAGTCCATCTGACAACTACAATCAACAATTCATATTCTAACAAAAAAATAGAAATTATCAAATTTGAGTTTGGAAAAGTGACAAAGAACAACAACTGAAATTTAAAGAACAAGAGAACTGCTACTCTAAAGCGATAGAATGAAGTTTAAAAGTATTGTACAACCAACTTAATCTTGTTTTAAGACAAATATTATACGATAAGTCCCTCCTCTCCAAAAGAATATATATCTATATCTTACTTACATTGGCCCCTTTTGTTTAATCCATTTAGAAGACGTTCGGATTTGTTTAAAATGGACTTATTTGTCATTTTAAATAATTAATTACATACTTAATAGTTTATACAAAAAAGTGAATATAAGTAAATTCTTTTAAACGATAAATAAGTGCAAAAAAAATGACATGTCTTAACTCTTATTAACTGTCCATTATCACTTCATATGTAATTACTTTAGTCATAAGTATCCTTATTAATAACTGCTTATTTTTTATTTTATAGTAAGTACTCTGTCTAAATAAAAAGTTATTTATGCATCAATAAATAAACAAGTAATTATTACTTTCAACAATTTTAAACAATCAAAGCTAAATGCCTTCTTAGTCTTAATCTGCAGAAATTAATTAATTAATTAATTTAATAAGTAAATTAATTAAATAAATGAGTGAGGTAAGGTGCAAATGTAATGACATGAATCTCACCGCAAACGTAATATAGGGATAGTACATCCATACAACTTCGTTGACTTTTGCTTTTTTTCCCAGAAAGCGAAAACCCCAATGTGGGGTAGAGATAGTACATCCAGATCCAGACTACTCCCTTGACTTTGTTTTTATGAAGAAAATGCAAAAGCATGCTCAGGATCATGTGATTAATTTCAAGCACTAATTAACAACTGACTTCTAGAATGATAATGTGAATTCAAATATGTACAGTCAGGTGTTTTGCTATGTTCTATCTTTAATTTAACAGTTTCCTATGTTGAGGTTGTTCTACATCAATTTACTTAGTTTAAGGAAAACCCCAATGTGGGTTCAGGATAATACATCCAGGTCTAGACAACTTCCACTACAAGAAAATGGTGAATTAGCGACGCAATTTACCGATGCAAGTCATTTTCGTTGGAATACAGACAATATTTCCAATGCATATACTGCGTCAGTAAATTATCGACACAAAATCGACGCAAAAGTTTGTCGAAAATATTACCGACGAAATGCGTCGGTAATAAATAAAAAAAAAGAAAAAAATTACTAATGCAAAATCATGCGTTGATAACAAATAAAATAAAGAAAAAAAATTACCGACGCAAAGTCATGCGTCAGTAAGGAATAAAAAAAAGAATAAAATATTACCGATGCAAAATGATGCATTGGTAATAAATTCAAAAAAGAAAAAAATATTACCAACGCAAACCGTGCGTTGGCAATAAATAAAAAAAACAAAAAAAAAATTACCGACGCAAAGCCATGCGTCGATAATAAAAAAAAAAAAGAAAAAAATATTACCAACGCAAAGTGATGCGTCGATAATAAAAAAATATATATTACCGATGCATATCTTGCATCGATAATAAATTAAAAAAAAGAAAAAAAAATTACCAACGCAAAATTGCATCGGTAATTTGAAATTGTTCGTCGGTAATGGGCGGTAACACGAATTCCGAGGCACAGTGTTTGAGGAATTACCAATGCACTTTATCGATGCAATGCGTCGGTAATTCCCTGTATAAATACCCCTTGGCCCCGACCCGCTCGGCCACCGTCTCCATCTTTCTGTTCTCTCTCCCTTTTCTCTCTGTGTTTTGCTCTGCTACCACCGCACTGCACCGCACTGGTACAATCAATCTGCCCCATTTGTTTAATTTTACATACTGCACACAAATAGTTGTGTACATGTTTATAAATACATGCGTGATTGCGTAGATGTTGCGTAGTTGTTTTAGTTTTTTTTAAAACATTTTATTATGTTTTTTTTTCTTTGTTTATTGAACGGGCCAAGGCCGGCCTTGCTTGGCCTGGCAGCCCAGCAGGGCAACTGGGCCGGTTGCCAGGCCAGGCCTTACAACCAAGCTGGGCCGGCCCTGCTTGGCCTAGCAGCCTAGCAGGGCACTGGGCCGACTCGCTGGGCCACCCCTACTGGGCTGCTCGCCCAGTAGACTAGGCCGCTGGGCCGGCCCATTAATTTTTTAAAATATTTTGAAATTAAAATATTTAAAATATTATTTAAAATATTCAATAAATAGTATTAATTTAAAGTATTATAAGAAACAATAAAAAATTAATGTAAAATATTATTAATAAAATCCAATAAATAATATAAATTTAAAATATTGTTAACAAAGCCCAATATAATTGTATTAATTTAAACTATTATATAAAACAATAAAATATTAATGTAAAATATTATTAACAAAATCTAATAAATAGTATTAATTTAAACTATTTTTTAATAAAATAAAAGATTAATTTATAATATTGTTAACAAAGCCCAATAAACTTTATTAATAAAATAAAATTTAACAAATTGCACTAGAGAGTATTAATTTAAACTATTATTTTAAAAAATAAAATATTAATGTAAAATATTATTAGAAAAAGCCTAATAAATAGTATCAATTTAAACTATTTTTTAATAAAATAAAAGATTGATTTAAAATATTGTTAACAAGGCCCAATAAACTATTATTAATAAAATAAAATTTAACAAAGTCCACTAGAGAGTATTAATTTAAACTATTATTTATAAAAATAATATATGAATTTAAAATATTATTAACAAATTCAATATAATAGTATGAATTTAAACTATTATGTTAAAAAAATATTTATTTAAAATATTATTAACAAAGGCCCAATAATAGTATTAGTTTAAACAATTATATAGAAAAATAAAATAATAATTTAAAATATTATTAACATATTTTTTAAACAAAGAAAATAAACTAATGAAATAAAATGTTATTAGAATATTGTTTAATAAAGTCTTTTAAAAAAATTACGTTGGTTTAACACATTAAAATTGTATAAAAAATTGAAATAATATTTTAATTATTTATTTAATGACACTTGAAATATATTTTAAGCATACGCATTAATAAATATTATAACTACAAATTTAATAAATTAAAAGTTAAAATTAAAAATATTATTTAATCATTAAAGAGATATCTTGAAAGCAATATTTAATAAGCTTTATAACTATTGTAAATCAAAGTA